ATAGTACAGAATCATATATACACACTGATAGAACAGTATAAATACACACAGATAGAATAATATACACACGGATAAAATAATATAGAATAGTATAGAATATATCTTCGAATAGAATAGTATAGGATCATATGCGGATAAAATAACAGTTAGTATAAAGTAACAAGTCATATAAATATGTGGTTCATATAATATAAATATATAATAAGATAAAATAGTATAGAATCGCATATATACACGGATGGTATACACGGAATAATATGTTATCTCCGTATACCCATGGGTGAAATAATATAAAATCACATATGTTCGTGGTTAGGATAATATAGAATCAATTACACAAATATATAGAGTTGTATAAAGTCATATATACCTGCGGATAGAATAGTATAGAACCATGTACACATAGAAAGGATATAGATTCATATACATTCGCGGATACATTAGTATAGAATCAAGTACGTTGATAGGATTAAATGTGCATAAAGTTTGATAAAATCACATATGTGTATGGATAAAATAGTATAGAGTTACATGTATATGCGGATAAAATGATATAAAGTCATATACACATACAGATAGAAGAATATAGAATCACATATACTCGGATAGGATAACGCGGAGTTATATAAATCTGCAGATAGAATAATATAATTATATAATAAGATAGAATAGTATAGAGACATATAGTCACAGATAGAATAATATAAATTTATATACATATGCCTAATAATATAGAAAAATATAAGATATTATAGAACAGTAATAATACATTTCATATTCAACATTATTGAAACTATTAGTATTATAAATTATTATTGAATTATATTGAAAATCTATCCGATAAGATGTTAGTAAAACATACGTAGTAAAATATCATATTAATCAACATAGAAATTATATCACATTGAATAAGATTTCTAGAGAAGAATAATATGTTCTAACCTCTAAGTGTGTTAATGTCATTAGCGAGCAAAAAGTCATTAGTATGACTTTTCTTTCATGTTCTTAGTGTTTTCACGTGAAAAATAGCATGAAAATTTTATAACTGCCTAGGCTGCTACATAAGCCTTGTTCGATTTTATTCATAACTGAATTTTTAACTTGGTCGTATAGTCCCAGATAGCCAAACCTGAGCGAACAAATTCCGCGCAAGAGTTGACATCAAGTGTTGATGGCAAATAGGCAATAAATTTGCAACAAACTTTATGTTATCAAATTCTGCTCGCAAACTGCCACCAAATGTGCAACAAGGCTTGGTGCGGAGCAACTTGCAATAAATTGACAGCAAAAACTGCGCAAGTTTTGCAGCGCATAACTTAGCACCAAATAAGCACCAAACACTGAGCAACACTTGTGCACAAGACACGAGAGCAAATTGGCAGCAAATCCGCAGCAAGCCTTGCACTCAATCAGCTGATCGAGATGGTTGCGACGTGTGTTGGATTTTAAATGGTTCCTAACCTGTATATTGATAAATTTTAATTGCAATTTTGCATTTAAAAAGGGAAAGGTGTATATAGAAATAAATATTTGACAAAACAGACTGTATAATTTATTATACAAACATATATACATGTAAGATCACGATATTCGTCATTATCGCTACTTACATGTAAACGAAAGGTGAGAAATGAAATATATGCGATGGGACATTAATTTGTGAATTCGTTGCAACTGATGATTCATCTCGTCCATCTCTTTCTGAAGACTGCAAAGTGGAAATGGTATTTTAAAAGGATATCTCACGTACCATTTCCACACTTGGGTGAAAAGGTAAATATCTATAATTATGTTTTATATTGTAGATACTGTCAAAACATTTCTTGAGAAGAACAAAGTAGGAAAATATAATGAAGAAGATATGAAAAAAAGAGTAGAAACGAAGAAAAAAAGAAAAAGAAGAGAAAAAACGTAAGGAGAAGGCAGAAAAACGTTTAGTCAATCTATGTAAAATTGGAGATCGCTGTGAGGTATCTGTTCCAAATCAACGAAAACGAAGACCTACAGTTTTATATGTTGGTCAGCAGAAAATTATTATTTATAAAATAATCTTATACCAATAAAATTCATCTTTGTTTGAATCATGTATCCTGATTCTATATAAACATTTTATAACTATAGGTAAAACTGAATTTAAAGATGACTGGTGGACTGGTATTAAGTACAATGAAACTCTTGGCAAAATGATGGAAGGTACAAGCATATATTTAATATTTCCTTATACTATATCAATACATATCTCTTTCTTGCTTAATTTATTTTGTGCTTATTATGTTTTCATTAGGCTGGATCTACAATAGGTGTAATAAGTTTTTAGTTATTTGGTCTAAGCTTTACCAATCGCTTCCCATTTCATTTCCTTTATGGTGTGATTTTTATAATATTTATTATCTTTTGCATACAAACAGGGATTTGCTTGTACAATTGTTATTAAAACTTCGTCGTCAATGTCAGCAACATATTCTTCGTTGTCGGACATTTTGCCAAACCAAATCGAAACGTGCGTATATGCCTAAATAACTTTTCTTATTGGCTGAAAGAAATCGGCCTTAAGCTTTAATTCTTAATTTCAAAAGTTTGGATCTACCCAACTTTACTGCCAGCGCTGAAAATTTATAGTTTACGTGACACAAACTATATATTTTCAGTATTGACAGTGAATATCAGAACATAGCTTATATTGTTGCCTATGTTATTGCATTTTGAATAAGGTAAGTTTTGGAAACATCCCACATTAGTTATATATATTGTTCGAGCGTATACTCTTAAATAATTTTGTTACAGAAGTTGGTTAACATGGCCAATATGGTAAATATTATTGGTGCTGATATGCTTGCTGAAGCAGAAAGACATGTACAAAGAAATGGGAAACATTTCCGAACCCGAGAAGATCTATTTGAACTTCCAGAAAACCAATTCATAAAATTATTTCATTTAACTAGAAGACAGGCTGACAATATTATTGATATCGTAGAGCAATACTATCATCCAAAAAGATCTTCAGCATTAGATGCATCTGTGGAAGTAAGTTACTTGATTCCATATCTATCAATATTATATCTGCTTTTTGTATCCATCTCTATTAATCGTCATGTGGAGAAAAATTCCCGATTTTGTTATTGCTTTTTCTCTATTGGTTAAGAGTCTCCTGACAGTAGCGACAACACCGCTGTCGAGTCGCATGCGACAATTGTCACAGGGGCTCGATTCCCGACGGTGTGCGAGTGAGATGTGTATGCGAAAATGTATAGTTTACGTTACATATAATATAAATTTTCGTATGCGCATCTCATTCGCACGCCGTCAGAAATCGAGTCCCAGATGTCATGCGATAATTCTCGCATGCGACATATCTCATACGCTTTCAAGTGGTCTGTTCTTTTTAGCTGCACTACTGAACTGGTGCAATAAGTTAAAGTGAGAAAAAATATAGTTGTCTCATTCTAACTTATTGCACTAGTTCCGCAGTGACCGCAGTGCAGCTGAAAAGAACAGATCAAATAATTGAGCCCCAGAGTTTTGTTGTCAGTTGTCAGTTGTAGCATGCAGAGAGGAGTGACACGTAGGAGTAAATAATTTACACATAAATGGATTTCGAGAATTACATGGTAGAACTGTACGTCAGGATATTGTGAAGGATCATCCTCAAGTGAACGCTTTAATACAAGTAAATATATGTATATATATGTGATTCTATCTCATAAACTATGAGATATAACCTCGATCTCAACTTTAGATTAACATCAATTCTGGAAAAAGAAGAAGGAAAGAAGAAGAGAAAATTAACACCATGTTTTACAATAATAAATAGTAGGATCATATTTACAATAATAAATAATATGTTAGGAATTATATTCTGATAAGCCAAATAACAAATCACCATGTATTTTCTGTTAAGGACATATAACAATGCACTGGGCTGTTGAAAGCATTAGGCGAATTCAATACCGAAGGTAGGACCAAAATTGCGGTGTTAGAATCCTCTATAGAGCGATTAGTGTCTGTTGCTGAAACCGAACCAAATGAGAAGAAGAAGACTGAGTTGTTGTCCATCGTTGAGAGCTATAAGGAGCAATTAAATATGTTCTTGGTGGTCTTTCGCAAGGCTAATGTCGTTAGCACTTGTGTCATAGAAATAGATAAATTAGCTAGGGAGGATCTGCTCTCCTTGCCAGAGGAGTGACAAAATGCTCTTCGTAAACGACGAGACAAATAAAGTTTGATAGATTCTTCTAGTCAAATCACAGACAAATTATTCAGCATCGTAAGGCATTTAGCTAAGACAACTCAGAGAAGTGCTGATATATTGGACATATTGTGTACGTACTATATTTTTTAATTATTTCATAAAAATATTGAATTTATTAGATATCTATCATGCAGAATGAAGCAGCTATTATCCTATCTTGAATATCTTGAACATATGAGATGTGAGAATAGAAAAATATTTAACAGAAAATACAAGGTACTGAAACAATTGTCTTATAGTAGTAAAGTTTTATTTTCTAAGTAAACTAAGCTTTAAAAATCTAAATCCTTTATCATTTTTTCTTAAGTTATTTTTTAAATAAAATGTTTTAATTAAAAATGTAATAAAATTTATTAAAATGTTTTTTTGTATCATAACTGATTTTGAATCATTCTTTATTATAGGTGATTGTATTTCTTTTAATAACTTATCGAAAAATAAACTCAGAAACAGCATTCCATTAAAAAAAACAAAGGTGACCTTCAAATCTTGAGAATCACCTGAAAAAAAGCATTACCGCCGCAAGGATTACTTCTGCAGCATATAATTTCTCTCTTTGTTAGATAAATTATTATTTATTATTATCGTCTTACTATATATTATCTGTTTAAGAATAATTATTACGATTCTACCGATTTTTGCTGTTGTTTCAGTAACATCCTCTGACAAGGTTGATAACACGAGAAACGAGCTGGAGCATCAAGAGCAAGTGATAGTGCAATCGGGAAAGCTCTTAGGAAAATATGCGAAGTCACTGATGAAGTATTACTTGCATTGGCCTTCGCGTTCTTCCTCGCCTGCGTGTTTTACATTTCACAAAAGAGACTGTTCTGAAAGCCCTTTGTATGTGATATTAATGAAATGGACTGATCATTTACGATGATATTGCGATTGTAACATATTGCGCAGAAACTCTCACGATAAATGACATAGAGAATGTATGTACTATTTAAGAGGAGAAATCGGGTGAGTTTTTACAAGTATTTTAATGGCTTTACGCGTGTGTGGATAAATTGCTCGTTAATCTCTGAAGGATGTTTTCATTCGGTCACCAAATCTTATTAAATAAACTCAACTGGTTGTATATAATGGTATCCTGTAAGAAGATAAAATATTTATAAAATTTCAAAATGTATACACGTTTCTACTATTCATTATCACTAAAATAACGATGTCGCATCGCGAGACGCTATGGAAATTAATTGCTCGTACATTTTTACAACCGCTTATGAATTCCTCCCTGGTGACTATTCCGTCTCTGTCTGTGTCCATCTCCTTGAAGAACTTGTCCACTTGGATGTTAACTGCGGGCTGGATAGTCTGCGCGTCCTGCACCATCTCATAAATCGCGGATATTATGACCAACATTTCTCGCTTCGTGATGCAACCGTCTCCATCAAAATCGTAGAATCTAATGAAAAGTAGGTCCAGAGAGTATTTCGCATGTTATAATCTTCGAGATTATTGACTTCAATAAGTATCAGTGATTAAATATTTAATAAATATCCAATAATCAAGTAAAATTTCTATTGCGACTAATATTAACATTTTTAAATGTCACTTTTTAACTTTGAATATTATTCCGAGGAAAAATGATTATATATATCAGACAGTCCGTTACTAACAGCGATTACTGCTCATCCAAGTATCCAAGAGAGCTGATCGACCATGCCGTTCACGATCGATGCTGTGAAAGACGAAGATCGCTGAAGCTGACGATATCGTCACCGTCCTTATCGAAACTGTGGAAGACGATTTGCGTGTATCTGGGCCGCCCAATGGGAATAGTTTTTGGCGTATGCGGGTTTCAAATCGCTAGGCGTCGCACTGTTTGCGCAGCATCTCCGCCGACGGACCGTATCATCGTCAGTCCCGAAAAGACGGGACTCTTAGCTGAAAATATTTGAGCGAACGTTAATTTAGAACGCGATGTCGTGAATTTCTCGCGAAGAAATGGGAAAGAAATCTTTCCTTCTAAGTATTCTCTTGACACGTGAAAAATTGGTCGCAAGTTTTGATACTTTTTTTGTAATCTTTTCTCGTAAGTTCTTGTAGTATGCAACGATTACCGTGCGCGTGTTAGCTCGTTTCATGTAGTGAAAAGTAAAAATAAGAATTCTGAATAGTTTTGTATACTAATATTTCTTTCGTAGTCATAACATAAAAACTTATGCAATGTGACTTAACCCTTTCGTGTCTGACTTTTTTCTAGAAATAATCTGCGTCTAATTCACGTCTTACATAAGGTTTTTAGAATTGCTGATTATGAATTTGTAGTCAAAATTTCAAAATTCAGAATAGTACCTATAGTTTAAAATATTTATATAGAAATTATATAGAATACACAAGTCAATATGTCCGCATATATTTCATTTCTCACCTTTCGTTTACATGTAAATAACGATAATTACGAATGTCGTGATCTTATATGTATATATTGTATGTATATGTATATGTATATGTATTATATATGTATATATATAATATATTTATATAATAAATTATATAGTCTGTTTTGTCAAATATTTATTTCTATATACACCTTTCCCTTTTTAAATGCAGAATTGTAATTAAAATTTAGCAATATATAAGTTAGGAGCCATTTAAAACCCAACGTACGTCGCCACCATCTCAATCAGCTGATTGAGTGCAAGGCTTGCTGCGGATTTGCTGCCAATTTGCTCTCGTGTCTTGTGCGCAAGTGTTGCTCAGTGTTTGGTGCCTATTTGGTGCTAAGTTATGCGCAGCAAAACTTGCGTTATTTTTGCTGCAAATTTACTACAAGTTGCCTCGCATCAAGCCTTGATGTCAAAACACAATCCTAAAGAGGACACAGTTGCATATGGTTTTGGCATCAAGTTTTGACCGAATTTGCTGCCAATTTGCGCTCAATTTGCACTCATTTTGCTCATTGGGGTAATACTTGTCACTAGGCATATTCTATTTTCGACGTTTCCATAAGACAAACGTGTTACAATTTCGTTTCTCTCGAGTATATGAAACTTAGAAACCGATTGTAACTTTGTGAAAATGTTGACTTAGCTTTTTCATTACAATACATGGTCACCGCTGACACAGCGATTACATATACTGTTATTGTGTTTTCAAAAGAGACTGCTTTACATATTGTGGACACTCTTTCGAGCTAGTATTTTATTTATTCTATTTATTTGCAAGCAAGTAATTGGTAAGAAATTAAAATATATAATATTTCCCATATAACATGCAAAATATACTTGCAGGGAGTCAGGGAATCTTTTTCTCATCAGTTATCCGTGCTTCGTATTTGGTAATCGTAGTATTGTTTCAGCTAAGTTGAGTTTTATGCAGAATAACTGAATATAACGAATTTTTCCCAATAAGTAAAGTATCTCACATATTTACCTGTGTATATGTCATTTTAATATAAAGACAACACAAGATATAGTCTTTCCTGCTTAGTGCATAGAGTTCTTGTAGCAAGTTGTATTCTATTAGTATGGTTTACTTAGTTTGCTTGTCCTGGACTGGAAAATAATGAGCATATGCTCTTTTTTGCAACAATCCTGCCATTTTTTGACTAGTAAACATGTTTATTAATTGATTTAATAGTTTCTTTGTTCCCTTATTATTCAGTGTTTGTTCAGTAAGTGAATTCAGATTTTGTATAACTTTTTTTCAGATTTTATGCCTTTTGATAACTGCAGAGATATTCGTCATTGAGATCCCAGCACTTTTACTAGGCAGAAGGTAATACAACTGCACAATATTTGTATTTAGAAATAAGTAGGCATTGTGCATAATGCTTGCATTATTGACAATGTGTACGTTTAGGCAAGACACCGCTACTGAAGCGCTTTTGTTGACTAGAGCATTCTTTTAGATTCTTCATAGATCCAGAAGTATTTAACCAATCAGGAGCGAAAAAGCTGTAGCGCTACTATAGCGCTTCAGTAGCAGTGTCTTGCCTAAACGCTTATTATTTATAACGCTAATTGCTTATAACATATATATACAGGTTGAACGATAATGAGTGAACCAGCCTTTTACATTATCGGTAGATTACTGACATCTGTTCGAAAAATGATAAATCGCTTTGCAAACGATTGTATATGTATTCTGCATGCGCAAAATTACAATAAAAGTAATTCTAATACCGTTCAATAATTTGTCCCTGTAGAGTAAAAAGCTGGTTCATCTATTATCGTTCACCATATATATATATATATATATATATATATATATATGTATATTGGAGAACAAATAAGCGATAACCATTTGCATTAGCTACCCAAATAGCCTAATTTGCGGATTATAAAATCTCACAGCAGATCTATAGTATACAGTGTTTGCATTAAACTCATTTTCAACAACGTTAACAACGTCTGTTGAAATAATTTTATGGCATGTTGGCGACAAGAATGGCCATTCCCTGCCATAAGGTTGTTTCAATAGATGTTGTTCACAGAACATGAGCTTAAGATGAATGCAGTAGGCTATGGATCTGCTGTGGGATTTTATTAACCGGATTTGGCTATCTGGGTAATAATGAAGAAATGTAAAAAAGGTTTTATGATGTATACAGTTAGACGATATCTACTAAAATAAGAGTAAAATGCATTATTAGCTCACAGAATATCTATTATTTTATTTCCTTTCTTAGATTTAGTTTTAATTAGTCTATTGGCTTAAATTCACGTCTTACGATTACTAATCCGGATTAACGTTGCTGTGTAAACATAATAAATGTTGTGGATTTTTTGTCACAGACCGTATACGTATTTGTTTGAATAGCTCTTGAAAACCTAACCTGTACAGATAAACTTCCGTAATTTGTTTTAAAGATGTTAATGAACTGTTACCATTTCTGTTTTACAGTTGCAACACTGAATAATACACAATACATATATCATATTAATAATGAATTGTATATATATTTACTTTTACTTTTTTATTCTCTTAGTTTTTCCATGAATTTACCAGTATAATTTCCATGAATCTATCAATATGAATTCTATTCAAGATGTTTTTAACGTTTTTTTTATATATGTCCTGGATATCTTGCTTCTGTACCTTACATACTGTCCTATGTAAGGAAAAATGTTTTTGCTTATATAAAATATAATGTGTTATACATAAAAAAATGATTGTAGTAACAATCGTGTAAATATAGACCTATGTATGTCATAAAATCAGATAGTTGATTCGAGTCCTGAGAAGGCTCAATACACACACGCAGTTATATATTTATACTCTGTATGAAAATATTAAAGTGTAGTTACAAAGTGTAGTTACTTAACAATGAATATTTTATGAGATATTTTATATTTATTTGAAACATTAAAAAGTAATTTTACATAACTGTATCCTCTTCGGACTATATAACTTTTGTATGAAACTTTTTGTGTAATCTATAAAAAAATATGTACATACAGACATTTAAATAATCTTCTATATAATATTGCTATAAATAAATAAAGCTGGAAGTAAAATTAATAATTAAATTAATAATTAATAAATGTAAATTAATCTTGTAATCGTACAATAATGTTGTAATTTACAGATACCGAAATATTTTCGGGAATTGTCTGTGCGACAAAATAATCGGCGCATTCAAGCATATGAAAGACATGAACGTGAATCAATAATACATCATGTCGATAGATTTGCAGTTAATATAGGAATCGCTAATGTTGAATCGCTAGCCGATATGAATGTGTCTAGAAAGCAATATACTTTATCTGATGACTCTTCAGATAAATCAGATAGTGCTTTGAATATAATTTCTAACGATGTTCCAAATTATGATATTAATATCATTGTTGAATCGGAAGATAATACCGAAGAAAATATTAATAAAACTCCAGTGCTTTACAATTGGTTACGTTCTTGGGCATTACAACTTGTATTACTCACATTGCTTTGTCTGAACTGTTAACTCATTTGCGTACATGTGGTCATACTGATCTACCAAAGAGTGCAAGGACGCTTTTAAATACGCCAAGAAATAATATCGTTCAAGTATCGGCAGAAAATGGACATTTTTTTCATTACGGCTTAGAAAAAGCAATAATTGAGCAATTTATACGCATCAAAACCACAATAGAAAGTGAAGTTATTATGATAGATTTAAACATAGATGGACTGCCTATATCAAAAAGTAGTAAAGGTCAACTTTGGCCAATATTGGGCAAAATTTATGGTGATGTATTTACACCATTTGTAATTAGCGCTTATTACGGATACTCAAAACCACCTTCTGTAGATATACTTTTAAAACCTTTTTGCCAAGAGTATAATATTCTTCGAAACACAGGACTCATTATCGGCGAGAAAAGATATACTGTACAAATCAGATGTGTAATTTGTGATAGTCCCGCAAGAGCATTCGTAACTTGTACAAAATTATATAACGGATATTTTGGATGTGGAAAGTGTATGCAAGAAGGCACTTATTCCAATCATCACATGTTATTTTTGGAATTTACAGCATCTCTTCGAACTGATCAAAATTTTAACGATAGAACACAAGAAAATCATCATATTGGTGTATCTCCTTTCGAATCAATACAACTGCCTATGGTTTCACGGTTCCCTCTAGATTACATGTATTTAGTATGTCTAGGAGTTATAAAGAAACTGTTGGTATTATGCGTAAATGGATATAACACTTCAAGATTAAATGGACAAAAAATAACAGAGTTGTCGAAAATGCTAATTGCAATGTCGAAGTGGACACCGAAGGAGTTTGCTCGGAAACCACGTTCTCTAGATGAATTGACTCGTTGGAAAGTAACAGAATTGCGAGAATTTTTATTGTACCTTGGACCAGTCGTGTTACAAAATATTTTGCCTCTACATAATTTACTCCACTCCAATGCATTAAATTGTGCAATACGGATATTATGTCATCCGACGGATTGTTTCCGTAACAATCAATATAGCAGAGATCTATTGATTCAATTTGTAAAAATATGTAAAAAGTTGTATGGCGACGATGCTATTGCATTTACAATGTGCATAATTTAATTCATATTAATGAAGATGTACTCATGTATGGAGCATTGGATAATTTTTCTGCCTTTCCTTTCGAGAATTATATGTAATCAATAAAAAAAATGCTGAGAAAAGCAGATAAACCGTTACAACAGTTATACAAAAGAATTTCAGAAAATGCTAATAAAGCTTTTATAAATGATTGCGATAAATATAGTATACCTATTTTGAAAAAGAAATGTTTACAAGCTCTCCCAATGAATTGTACGAATGCCTATCGTATGATTCAGTTCAGAGACTTTACGTTGACGAATAAGAAACCCAACAACTGTTGTTATCTGAAAGACAAAACAATTCTTATTATTGAACATATTTGTTATAACGAAGAAGAAACAGCCGTTATTATAGGTAAAAAATTTTTGACGAAAAATTCTTTACCGTTCTAGCCTTGCGAATCACAACATATGGAGATATATGTGGTTAAAAATTTATCAGGCCTAATGATGTGGCCAATTACAAAAATAAAAAATAAAGCCGTTCAACTTCCGTTTAAAGATAAAATTTCATGGTGTTGTATGCCGTTAATACATTCCTCGTTAAAATAATAATACTGTTTATGTCATGTTGCGGTACAAGGATGATTAATTTTCAATCTAATTTAGAACTTTATATGGAATATATGTGTGTAAGTTGCAATTAAAATTTGAATTTTCTACTTAATAAAGGAATAACATAATCGATAATTAATACAATATTTCTATTGTCATAGTTATAATTAATTTTGAGATTACATCATAATGACTATGTACAATTTATCAATGTAAAATTTATCAATTTTTTCCATCTTCAATATTAAAAGTATTTCTTAATAAATAAATAAATAAAATAATTTCTTAATGAATAAATAAAGATAAATTAATATTTATATAATCTGTAAAATAGAAATAAAAATTTCTCATTATTAACGTCAATAACGATTTCGTTGTTCCAGAAAAAGACTTAACCTCCACTTTTCACTATGTAAGGTATGCCCAAGCCGTATTTTCGGCAGACGAGTGTTCGAAAGTTCAAAAGGAGGGAATCCGGGTCGAGGGGGAGGAGCTTAGGCGTTCCCACTACACTTCCCCACCAAAGTATTTTGTATGTTATTATACTTTTATTTCCTATAAAATTCTAAAAAATATCAATTTTTCATTTTTTTTCTCGAACGATTGGTAATTTCATTATAATATATATATATATATATATATATATACACACTCAAACGCAAAAAACCCGGTACACTAAAAATTTGGGAAAAAATTACAAAATTTCAAATGATCATAACTTGGTAAATAATGAAGATACAAATATGCGCAGAAATGCAAAATGAAGCTTGAAACGTCCTCTTTAAGAATATCTGAATGGAAATCATGCTCGGCCATTTTTTTCAAAATGGCGGATGATAAAGTGAGAGGATGCAAAATTGATAATCAAAGTTCCGTGTTTGCGATGGTGCATGGTGTGCATCAGGTATCGCAGCGTAATGGGACCAAATGCACATGAAAGTATAGTGTTATCTTTAAAATGCTACTTTACCGAACTCGATGTGATCATTTTTCACTGAGTTGTTCCAAATTTTGCTAAAAATGCGGTTTTCTTGTTAAATTTGCATAATTCAGTGAATAAGTATCGCATCAAGCTCTATAACGAAGTATTTTAAAGAAAACATTCTATACTTTTAGGTACTTTTCGTCCCATTGAGCTGCGACACT